CGTTTACTTAGTTTGTAAGCATTGTAAAGACAACACACAGGGACGGGCTTAGGAGAGAAGTGCACACCTCTCCTAACCACGTCTTTTTACTTAGTTTGTATGCATGGTAAGGACAACACGCAGGGACGGGTTTAGGAGAGAAGTGCACACCTCTCCTAACCACGTCTTTTTACTTAGTTTGTATTATGCATGGTAAGGACAACACACAGGGACGGGTTTGGGAGAGAAGTGCACACCTCTCCTAACCACGTCTTTTTACTTAGTTTGTATGCATGGTAAGGACAACACACAAGGACGGGTTTAGGAGAGAAGTGCACACCTCTCCTAACCATGTCTTTTTACTTAGTTTGTATGCATGGTAAGGACAACACACAAGGACGAGTTTAGGAGAGAAGTGCACACCTCTCCTAACCAGGTCTTTTTACTTAGTTTGTATGCATGGTAAGGACAACACACAAGGACGAGTTTAGGAGAGAAGTGCACACCTCTCCTAACCAGGTCTTTTTACTTAGTTTGTATGCATGGTAAGGACAACACACAGGGACGGGTTTAGGAGAGAAGTGCACACCTCTCTTAACCAAGTCTTTTTACTTAGTTTGTATGCATGGTAAGGACAACACACAGGGACGGGTTTAGGAGAGAAGTGCACACCTCTCCTAGCCACGTCTTTTTAAACTTAGTTTGTATGCATGGTAAAGACAACACACAGGGACGGGTTTAGGAGAGAAGTGCACACCTCTCCTAACCACGATAAAAGACACATGATTCGAATCATCCGATGACACATGAATCAAAGACACATGATTCGAATCATCCGATGTATTTATAAAGTTCAAATAGGATGTTACCTTTACAAAATACCTCGAGACGGTCGACCACACATTCATCAAATGTAAAAGAGGTCGTCTCGCGTCTCTTGTCAAACGCAACACAACATCGATCATTCTGCAGAAATGGAGGTTGGAGGAAAGAGGACATTTTACAGATACGACTGCGTGGGGTTCGCGCAATAACACGTCCATTGTACCACCAACCAACTAAAACGACACACAACACAGCAACTGAATAAAACGACACACCACATAGTGTGTAACTGAATAAAACGTCACACCATATAGTGTGTAACTGAATAAAATGTCACACCATATAGTGTGTAACTGAATAAAATGTCACACCATATAGTGTGTAACTGAATAAAATGTCACACCACATAGTGTGTAACTGAATAAAATGTCACACCATATAGTGTGTAACTGAATAAAATGTCACACCATATAGTGTGTAACTGAATAAAATGTCACACCATATAGTGTGTAACTGAATAAAACGTCACACTACATGGTGTGTAACTGAATAAAACGTCACACCACATAGTGTGTAACTGAATAAAATGTCACACCATATAGTGTGTAACTGAATAACACGTCACACCACATGGTGTGTAGCAGAATAAAACGTCCCACCACATGTGTAAAAAAAAGTGATGTGCAATTGTTTTTATTTTAACAGAATTTATGACAAAATTTGTCAGAGTGGACTTCCTTTTTATGTTGTGTTTATTTACTTCTTTTAAGGTGGAATATTTTCTAATGAAACAAGATTGCGTAATAGCTTAAACACGTTTAATTCTTAATAACACAAAAACAAGGAACAGTAATTAAGCCAAAGATTAAACAAGTATTCATACGGCTACATAGAAATAGAATATGAACTGACTAAATTTTTATAAGTACTTTACACATATATACATGTTTAAAAGTATGAAAAGTATATACAGTTCGGCAAATTATCGTAAACTACTGATTTACTGCTATTTACATTGTGTGTAAGCGGGTGTTAACATACACGCAGGATTTTTACATGAGAACTGTTGGTTTTTTGGTACTAGCATGCGAATCAATAGTATCATCATTTAATTTCATTTAAAAAGACAATTTCCACCCGTAATACTTTACATAAGTCTACCAACTACAACAAATATTTCCGATGAACGGTAATCGCCAGAGCACACAAAAAGTAACAATTAATGTTTTTGTTTTTGTGATCAGAAATTTGACCAAATTTACTTCGTATTTTCACTTGTCGATGCAACATTACTGAAATGAATTGTGTGTATGGTGCATCTGCAAATCTAAAAATACGCTGCTCGAATAAAATTTCCAGAAATTCGTCGAGAACTTCTTTACATCTGTACAGTTTCAGCAATGAAAAACTAAGTTGTGAGATGTAGCTTAAATGGTGAACACACGGCATCTTTGAACAGCCTTAAAAATCATTTCCAATTCTCATTTACAGATCAACAGGTTCGGGGTCTTTAGCAAAAGGTTCCTATGAATGAAACAGACTCAAATTACTTTGATGAAATTCATTACTAATAGTACAACTGTTAATGACAAAATTCTTCACTTGAATGATACAAGTATGAAACTTTCTCACATTCTTATTATGCCTAGAAACACAAAATTTTGATATAGGGCCAGCCCATATTTTACATTTAAAACGAGTTTTGCTAATGTCGTGTTTGATGACGTCGTCGGTAGTAAAAAAAAAAACAAAGTTCAGAGAAATCTGCAATTTCCCTGTATATTCTTGTACTATCCCTGTATATTCTGCAATTTCCCTGTATATTCTTTGTACTGTCCTACATGATATTCCAATACCTTTAATTTCTGGATTGACATGTAATAACTGAGTAGTGCCATCATCGCTATTTGTCTCTTTCTCAGGCTTATTTACAACTTGAGCATTTTTATTCTCAGCAATTCCTGTAGAAAGATTGCGGGCACTTGAAATCAAAGTTGCGCAAAAAAATTTAATGCAGAAATTTCAAAACAAGAGAGGAATTCTGTCAATGCATTTTATGACTGTAATTTGAAACATTATTATTGTTCACTTGAAAGGCATCAACATGGATCATCTACGTAAACTGAGCACGATGACAAAGTACTTTGATGCAGACTACTGTACACGTCTGATACCATCTACTCACAGTTATGCATTAAATACGTAACTCTACGTACGTATGTACGTAATCACATACCATTTGTTTCGGATACATTACGAGAAACTAAAACTGGCCATTTTGTAGGATCCTCTAGACTGCGCAATAATTCATCTTTCACTTCAACCTTATCACTCTCCAACATTGCCTGGGGTGATAAAATTTTTGCCATTAAATATATTTACGGAATAAATCTTTTACAATTAATTATGTGAAACAAAATATAATAGATTCCGAAAACAGACATCTCGTTTTCTTGATATTCAAGATGATACATAAGTTTTAGACAACAGATTGTGTAATATTTCGTCTTTATTCCAAAGATATCATCAGACTAATACGATTCTGACGATGTCTTTGAAATAAAGACGAAATAGTACACAATCTGTTGCCTAAAACTCTCGTACCATCTTGAATATCAAGAAAACGAGATGTCCGTTTTCGGAATCTGTTTTATTTTGTTTTATTTAAAATTGTCTGCTTGTCCTGGTTATTAATTGTGTGCATAGAGGAGTGTATCTAAATATATTCATAATAAGAAGCCTATCTACAACCACTTTAAAATAACATATAAATTCATTCGCACACGGCACCATACAAATACGAAAGGTCAACGTACAAATAACATTCTGACTATTCACTAGCTGGAACAGAAGTCTATTGTTGTGTCTTAAGTGTTGAATGAAGCACATATGACACAAACCTCTCGAATAAGATCTTTGTCTTGACTTAATGCTTGTACACGGAAAAAACTTGATATCAAGCTCAATGGAATATAACCTTCTGCATCCATCTGTTGCAAGGAAGGAAAAAAAGATGTTAAATTAATCAACTAAATTAATGCTAAATTAATCAACACTAACCATTCATTACTTCAACATGCAACCTCTACGTATATATGAATGCTACCACCGTCACATGTTCACCAAAAACCAGTAAAATTTCCCAAAATTTTGGCGCAAAAACCAGAAGTTAAAAAAAACAAACAACTAACACTAGGATGTATAGGTACAGATGTATACAACACATATCTCTATTTTCTATTTACGTAGTTCATATTTTCTGCAAAGTATAGGTTTGCATGTCACTAACATGTACGTATGTACACAGGACTAGTACATATTTTTGAAGAAAATATACTCAGAAAAACAGGAAAATGCTAAGTTCAAATTTTAAAAGTATTTTTCAACAACATAAGGAGCATACATATGCACAAAGAGAGCTAATGAACTAATTCTGCTTTTCATTTGCATGCTTTTTAGCTTATATTTGTTTGACAAGACATTGACTTTTGTTTTCTACTCAGACATGAAATCTCATCTAGAATGGTTGATATTTTGCAAATTTTGATTAAAAATACTATGGGAACCAGGTATTAAATTAGCATTTAAAAAGTTTCGCACAATCTGCGAAGTGCTGGTTCACTGCTCTCGAGACTTCACTCGAACGATGGGACTGTATTTTGACAATTGTATTTAACACTTGATAGGATATTTACAGTGGTTTGTGCACGATTTATGATACGGAGTTCCAAACGTTGGTTCTTTGCGACACAAATATGTTATTGAAACGTTGAGATTACGGCCAACCGTCAATCTTTAAACTTGAAACTTATTCAAACGCTATCGCCTCCTGCGATACGATTTCAACTTATCACTTTTGTACGTCTAACAACGTCTGTTTTCCGAATGCCGAACCAACGCTTGCAAGCTTTTATTTATATTATGATTATTAGGATATGATTTTGGGCGTTTGCATGACTTGCAACACGCCATTCCGTTATAAAGTACCGTCATTACCTATATCCTACCGCAATGCCACATTGGGTAGAAAAAGTGTTCCTAAGTATTTTGAATTTACGTACAGGATTTCCACTGAAACCACAGTTTAGTAACTATATACGTATTTGTCTAGTAATATATGACTTAACATTTTACATAAACATAATATCCGTTATATTTTAGTATCAAAAATATGACACAGTCACACTCTACATAACATAACATGACAATTTACAACAAAAAGTGAAATATTGCAATTTATAAAATTGCATGTGGTTAGCCGACACATTAAAGTCGGCTAATATTTATTTACACTTCAGTTTGCCTAACTCTGCCGATAGTCTTGAGAAGGTCTAAAATAAATAACTAGTACAGAAAACATATCAGCAGGACATCTACTTAAAAATACCTGTTGCCTGAGATACACATCCTTCGCCAAATTTTCAGTGCTGAAGTAGTATTCACTACAGAAAATGTAAAGTTTAATGTCATCACTTGTCATCACAACAATCATCAATGCAATCATTTAGCTAAGTATTTTGCACAAAAAATATCTTATTCAGGAAACAGCTCATCGCCACGTTTATTCATTTACTCACATTTGTCTTCTAATGTCATCTTTCAACAATGACTGGTCAAGCATGTTACTATAATTACTATTGTCATAGTAACAAATTCCTGAGAAGGTCTGAGCCATATACATTGTCGTATCATAAGGAGTGAGATAAGAGAATTGATATGAGTTGTTAGCGTACTGAATCCGACGATCAAAACCTAATCGTAAATTATAAGCATGAAGAATTGTCAAAACACACAATATTCATTTACAATGCTTCTACTTATAAACCAAGGTCCAAATAAATGCTTTGCAAACTGCAAGTTGCAAGACAATACACACATTTTTTTCATTTATAATATCATATCTTAATTATAATTATAATTTATATCATAGATCTTAATAACACAATATTAAAAAAATCGTTTCGTTTGGAGGTGGTTTAAACAAGCACTTTTACCAGTTTCCTACCTCTTCCTCCTCCACGTCGTCCTCTCCCACCTCTATATATACCACCAGCACCTCTCCTACCTCGACTTCTTTCACCACCACGCCAGCTTGGTGAACGTCGACTGTATTGATTATCCTCAGAATTCAAGTTCTCTCCCTCATTTCCTTTAGGGTCAAGTGGTAAGGGAACCCATTTTTGACGATTTCCTGAAATTTCACAAAAGATAATAAGCGAACAAATCAAATGGGACAACCTTACGTTTGAAACGAATACATACACGTATATACAGTACCGCTCACGTATATCTTAACAATTTTTTGCATATTATACGCATATGATACAAATATAATGTGCGTAAATTTTAGCTGTTCCAGGGGAGCGTTTAATAGATAGAACACGTTTAATAGAGAGGGGAGTTTAGATCATTTTTATTGCATTAGTTTAAACAAGTAAAAAGAAAACATTAACTAAATATAGGGTTTCTCAGCCAAATCAACAACTTACTATAGTAATGATGTATAATTGAAGTAGGATGAGTGTGTCTATTAGAAGCAGGACGTTTACTTGATAGGGAATGCTTATTGGATCATTTAAAGCAATTGAAATCGCCTCTATTGCTTATTATATGCATGTCGCACAGGAAAAAATTCTCCCTTCCTTCCACAGAACAATAATTTGCTTCTTTGCATAAGGTGAAAGCCTTTTTCCAGACTTCATTGATCCAGTGTTTCACAGTTATGAGTGAGAACTCTGGTAAGTGCTTCACGTATAAATACCTTGAATGCGCATGCGTATATAATCAGTGTATATGCTACGTGGATCGGATAAACATTATATCTGTATCATGCGCGTATCAAAGTGCATCATCATACGGGTAGCGATTTTATGTTAAGATATACGCGAGCGGTACTGTACATGTATATAATTGGCAATATTATGTCTGCAGGGCATAAGTAAGTAGTAAACCAATATTAAACTAATAGCTGAGTGGAGCATATTAACAATAACATTTATTAAATCTTAAAACATCATTTTTTGCTTCTCTGTGTTTTACTGTTCAATGTTCAATGGAGATGAAACACAGAGTAAAAAAATGACATTTTAGTATTTAAGTAGTTTTATATATATATCATTTATCAGTGTGCGAATTAACGGAGTGCAATGTGCAATTTGCACATCGTTTTAGCTTAAATGAAAACAATTGCACATCGCTTTCTCAAACGATATGCAAAAAAACTTCTTTATTGATTACTACCACACAAATTGAAAAAATTTTCAATCTTAATCTTTACTGATCTTTACTTTATACACGAGTGCGCTGCAAGATATTAAAATCCATGTTGACACTTTAAAGACGTTGTCACTTTAAGACTAGTAAGTCTGCAAACAGTCAACATATGTGGTGCTTATATGCTTATGACAATAGGGATGTAATACATTATTAATATCAATTTTTGCATTTGCGTTGTTTTGTAAACCGTACTGTTTTTGGCATCATAGCTGTTTTGAGTATTTTCAGTGTAATAAATTTGAAGAATAAACCAAGGGATTTTTGATTTTAAAGAAGCCTAACGTGAGAAAAAGAAGCCAAATTTGGCTCAAATTATTAAGAAAAACTTGCAACCTTGATCAGCCATACATTTGCTTTTACATGTTGCTTGTAGTATGACATAAATATGATGTTTTTTATCGTAAGTAAACATCAAGGATGTTACTGTTAATTATCAGAAAGCAAAAGTATATTTGGTTATTCACTTTTCCCTTTCTTGCCATTTTCGTCGAAAGGTTGTACCTACCAGCAAAGTTAATACAGTAAAAAAATGGATAGAAACATCAAATGCTGACTTGTTTGAGTACTGGGATGATGGCCATTTGGTGAATTTATTGTGCTGTAAAGTTTGCACAAAAAAAGAGGAGAGAATAACATGCGCAAAAAATTTCTCTCATACATTTGTAACTGGATCAGTGGTTGTAACGAAAAACACTGTCGTAAATCAAATGAATTTGTTCACGTTTAAAAATATTAATTTAGCAATGAGCGATATATAATAATTAACGTAATATCGATTTGATTATGCTTCTAAAAAAACACTTTTATCAAAAAAACTTGCACATCGTTTTTTCTCAACTAATTTATTAAGGTTGTACATATAGTGTGAATTCATCATCTTATATTGTGAATGATTAATGAAAATTCCTCATCATTTGCCACCCACAGGTTCCCTTAACAAACATTCCAAACTTGTCTCCACACACTGCCCCATTGAGAATAATTTATCACACTACCACTCCTAATTATGACAACTGCACTATATTGTAATATGATCCCAATGTATAAATATATAATTTAAGCACTATTGGTACATTTTATTTAACTGATGAGTGTCGAAGATCTAGTGACCTGCTATTAAAACAAATTTATAGTAAAATAAAAACCTATGGATTGTTGCACAACACAGTTTATGTCAAGTTCTTGCTTTAGAAAAATAGCTACGTATAATCCTGTTTCATTTTCACAAATGAGACTGAACATGTTTCACAAGAAATAAACTCATAAATGAACTCATAAATTAACAATAAATTAACTCATAAAGAAAACTAGATTTGTGTGTCAAATGTTTTGAAGTATTGTGAAAAAGTTTATATTTTGCTGCAAATTTCAAACTAATTATCATCTAAAAATACATACAGAGTGTGCGAATTAGTTCAGAAAAAACGATGTGCAATTTTTTTGACAAAAGTGTTTCTTTAGAGGCATAATCAAATCGATATTACATTAATTATTATATAGCGCTAATTGCTAAATTAATATTCTTAAACGTGAACAAATTCAATTAATTCATATGATTTACGACAGTGTTTTTCGTGAAAACCGCTGACCCAGTATTAAATTTATGAGAAGTAAATTTTGCTCCCAAAAAACACATACTGTTTTTTGGACAATAGATTATATTACGATGTCACCTCAAGTATTATATATAAATCTCCATGTATGTTTCTAAGTACATGTTACTACATATGTAAGAAGTTGAAAATTGCATCATATATTTGTGTGGGTTGGTCAATATTTAACTAAATCCATACCTTTCTTCCGAGATGTTGTTTTAATGTTTTCTTCATTGGAACTGTTGGAGACTTCTGTGGGATTTGAGTTCTAAAATTTTGTTTACAATATAATGAAGCTATAGTACGTACGTCGTTGGACTATTCACATTACGCAATATAATTAACCAGGGGGAGGAACATTGAATGAAATAAAGAACTCAAACATAGATAACATACCTTATAATCATTGATATTTTCCTTTGTTTCCCTCAAGCTTGGCCAACTTTCAAAATCTGCTAACTTTTCTTGCTAAAATGAAATCGAAAATCAACGTACTGCTTCGGGATGTTGATTTGAAGCAGTATCAAAAAAACTTGATCATCGTACATTAGCCTTCTTTGTTTCTGGTTTTTGGAGCCGTTCCTGATGTGGTACTTTTTCATATCCTGCATAATTCAAAGAATAAGTGAAGCTAACGACGTCGCTTAGACAATTTCTTCCATATTAACGTACCCTTATCAGTCTTGCTTTTTGCGTTCGTATTCCATGGATTCACTACGTGGGATGGAGGTAGGCTTCTTTGCTTCGTGTCATTCGCAAGTATTTTCATATCTATTTCCTTTAGAGGACCGTCCACTGTATTCATTGAATCCGTATTCCCTGCGGCTGAATTACTGTGCCAAACCGTGGTTGATCGTTCATCGTCCAGCTTATTAGAAATGTCGACTTCACTCATATTACACCATAAAACAAAGGTTATATGATACGCTCCACTTACTGGTTTTGCCGTGAAACGATTGGCATAAACATTCCGTCTCCACACGACGAAAAAGTTCTACCGTGACACAATTACCAAAATTTTGCCAGCAGTCCCAGCACTGAAGTAAACCACGTGCACTTCAGCGGTGAGGGAGTACTTATTACACGCATGCGCTTTCGTTAAATTCATGTGACTAACCAGAGCCCTCTATATTATGGACCTTACGTTCTACCGACAGCAATGCGAACGGCAACGGCAACGTGGGTGTAAATACGTGTACGCATGCGCCGATCAAAACAGTGCCGTTCTCGCTTAGCGTGCCCGACGCCATTCTCTTTAATTTTACGTTGTGCGAGAACGGCATTAATAAATTGCACAAACAATCGATGTCTTCTGAAAGAACAACATCAAGGTAAATTATTTTGATATTAGACTAGTTATTTATTATAATTTTACAGGTATTGAGGCTTTAAAATATCATGTTAAGTCAAAGCTTCACTTGCTTTTGTATTTCTGTTTATATTTTTATTATATCGTTGAAGGATGAATTATTTAACTGCAATATACTTCGAGGTTGCATTATTTTGCTAAGAAATCGTATTTTTCTGTTCAATTAGTGTTCCTATGAAATGGACTGAGCTGCATGATGAGATATTTGTACGAGAAATTTTGTTGATTCAACCATGGAGCAGTAAGAAAGCATCTCCTGAAAGAGGAGAAGCATGGATGAAGATAGCTACTACATTGAATTCTTTGGAAACACCAACGTTTCGTGTAACTCAAAGGTCCGTACGTGATCGATATGCTGTGCTTGAAAAGAAGCATAAGAAGAAAATACGTGATGAAAATCTTGCAAGTGGAATATCATGCCAGGAGAATGAAGTAGATCTTGGCATGGATGAAATTATTACATTGTTTCATGAAGCTGATATGGAGCATGAAAGAGCATTAAAGGAAAAGAAAAGAAAACTTGAGGAGGAAGCCAGTCAGGCAGCTGAAATGAGACAGCAATCCCTTGAATCGTTTGGTGAAACTCGCAAGAGATCAGAGTTTACTGATTCTGAGGTAAAAACTGCCAAAAGAAAACGCAGTAGTGGTTCTGACATGGTTTTGTATTTAAGAGAAAAAAGTGAGAGAGAGGCTGAGTTGAAGAAGTAGGAATTGGAAATAATGCAGCAGCAAACTGACAAAGATTATGAATTAAAGGAAAATGACATGAAACTTAGAAAAGAAGCAATGGAAGTAGCCCAAAATCAAAATAATTCTGTGCTGAATCAGCTTATCGAATTGCAAAGGACTCAACAACAGCAATTCATGCAGTTGATGAGGCATCAGCAGGAGCAAAGTTCATGCATGATGGCCCTTTTGAATAAGTTAACTTCTGGAAAATAAACAATGACATAGACTATTACCAGAGAACAGCCTCCTCTTTGTTTATGCTGTGATGATAACAGATCAAAGTAAACTTGTTTACAAATCTCAATTGTTTCAGTTTTTAAAGTAAATATGTAAAAAAGTATATGCATTTTCATGCTGTCTTTCATATTTTACAACTATTGTGCAAATGTTTAAATTTTTGCATTTAAATCCATTTATTAATGTTCTGTTTTGAAACAATTTCTTATGAACAATGGCATTTTTTTAATCATTTACATGAAGTAATTGTGTATAGTGGGTGGGTCAAGGCCAAAGTATTTTGCTGTTGTTTGCCATATAGGCATGCCCTTGCATTTTCTATAAGAGCACACACAACATACATTTTCCCAACTGCACTCAAATGTACTTTCAAATTTTTTTTAAAGTCCAAAAATTTGAAGTAATTTACAATGTCACCAAACAACCATTCAACAGCTATTCTCACTTGACTCATATATTTGTTCCATTGTTTTTGTTGTTCTGTAACTACAGCTCCTCGGAAAGGGCCCTGTAATTGTGGTCTGAGAGGGTATGCAGGATCACCATATATGCATAAAATATCCCCTTGCATGTTAAATGAACATTGCTGTAACATGTTGAGAATACCAGATTGGGCAAGCATTGCACTATCATGCCTTTTTCCTTCGACTGGACCATAAAGATTAGCTATCATGCCTGATGGTGTTGCAATAGATTGAAACTTAATGGCATGAACTTTCTTGTGTCCATTATAAAGTGTACGTTGCAATCGACCTGGTCGTGCAACAGGACGAACAGTCCCGTCGATGAACCCCCAGCAGTTGTTAAGAGCTGCTCCCTTTTGGTGTATAACTGTGGCAAATTCCTCTAAATTTTCTGGTTGCAACCATGCCTGGTTAAGATCAGTGAGCAAATGATGCCATCGTTCATGAATTACGTTCAGAACTTGATTCGATATCATGCACAACTGAGGTTCAGGTCTGGCAAATCTATGAATCATATCAATATATCTGCACGGATAAGCAAACCTCTTCAAAAAAATACATAGCCCCTCAATGTTGCCTACTTTTAGTCCATTATAGCATTTTATTTCCCCAGGCAATTCCAATATTTCAGCAAGGTTGTAAATATCATTTCGAAAGAAGCGAAATTCTGCTAAACATTCATCATCTGTCATTCGATCTAAATCGAAGTCTTCATAACGCCAAAACGGTATCCTAGGGCTTTTGGGTTTATTTACATCGTATAGCAGAGCAAATTCTTCGTTATCTATCGCGTTCAAAGCATGAGCGAACACAGTAATTTCCCTAAGACTCGGCATATTAAAATTTAATGAATCTTTATTAACACACTAAAGTCTTAGCACATGCAATCGTAAGGTTAAATTTAAGCGGGAAACGGCAACGTCAACCGCGCGACCGTTCCAGTCCCCTAGAGTTGCCGTTGCCGTTGCAGTCGCTTAATCGTAAGGCCTCGATTAGTAATTATACTATAGAGGGCTCTGTGACTAACTGGAAAGCTTCGTGTTACTTTCTGCGTCATTGCAGTCGATTGAATAAACCAGGGGTCTCCAAACTTTACAGCCAGAGGGCCACATGAACTTTCATTCAGCATGTTGAGGGCCGAAGAACAAGGGTTGTCAAAAATTAATTGAGTTTCAATTAATTGCAATTATTTGTAACCAATTGATTGGACAAAGCATCAATTAAAATTAATTGATTGGGCACATCTCCAATTAAAATTAATTGATTGTATTTGTATTCTTGTTAGATTTCTAAATTTGTTTTTTTTGTAGGCCTACACTTTCGAAAAACTCGAATTATGCCATGTTGACATTACATTTTTTATTTTCTTCTTCGCTTTTTCATTCTTAATGGGAATCCGAAAACTTATAGAACCTAAATGTGTGGCCTATGACATAGAGAAAAAAGTTGAATATATTTACTGTTGCTATTATACCTATTGCTATTGCCTGTACAATAGACGTACCTATTTCTATACGATATTAGCGTTAGTGTGCGTTCTAGTACTAAAAAGATATGTAGACAAAGTATTAACAAGGGTTGTCAAAAATTAATCGAGTTTCAATTAATTGCAATTATTTGTAACCAATTAATTGATTGGACAAAGCATCAATGAAAATTAATTGATTGTGCAAAACTCCCACTTTCAATTAAATGATTGGGCAGACCAATTTAATTGCAATCAATTATTGACAACCCCTGCCGAAGAATATAAAAAATTTCCACGTTATCCTTCAGCTTTTTAAATTTCACAATGTGCTTGAAACGGAAGTAGGAAGCTGGGAGAAAAATTGACGTAAGCCACTCTTGCTAGTTGGCTTGCGACATAACGTGAACTTTCTGTACAAAGTTTATTTTGTTTAATAATTTTTTTTTCTTAAGTGCCTCTGCGGGCCGGATTGAGAGGTCCAACGGGCCGCATCTGGCCCGCGGGCTGTAGTTTGGAGACCCTTGGAATAAACAATAAGTAATATGTAAACTTAAAATAACCAGGGTGGAAAATAAAAATAAATCCGTCATGAAACAAATGACGTACAACATGTTTTAAATATTAGAGTCAAATGTAAGAGCTTCGATGCGTTGTTTGAATTTGTTTCCATGATTATATTCACAGTCAATGTGAAGTCCTCCCTGGATTTGTGTTTGTTGAATATAACTAATGTGGACTTTGAAAGTCAACAGGCGTGTATTTCTGCATGCAATTAGCACATAGTATATGCAAAGCCTGAATTTTGATCTTGTAATTAAAATTTTAGAACGTTAGCCACCATCATTATTTTGTAGAAATCTTTTGTTTAGGCAGTGAGTAAACACCAAAAAAAAATTGTATAGCACGACTAAACAAACAGACTACAACTGATAAGTCGGCAGAGTGAAAGCCTGAACCTGCTGGAATATATCAACAAAGGCTCTGTCTTTGAATGGAACGGCAAGTCGACAAAATTCAAAAATGAGTGGAAAAAATTAGCTAGGAGAGACATTCCCATCCGGTCTATACATGTTAAAAAGGCGCTGGTATATTTTTGAAATTGTTACTACTGTGAACGTTGCAAAGTGCATGGCAGGATTAATCAAAAACTATATTTTATTACACAAGCCGTCAATTTAGGTAAGACTTCATTGTTCGAGATATAAAATGCAGCTCCTCTGATTTATTTTGCTCAACACTGGATCTGCTACCGGCGAATGAGAATCCTTTAATCGGGGCATTTGCGTTTGGCCTCTGGCCAAATTGAAAGCCATTATATGCTTGATATTTTATAGCTTTATTTCAGGTTTTCCACCTGCACAGAAGCACATTATGTCGTTCATAAACCACCTGTAAGACAGTTCAAAACATGTCAACGCTTCGTTATGGAATATTTGGTTTATGAAATTAATTGAAAAGTCTTAACAATGTTTAAGCTATGACGAAGACGAAAGTTTATCATTATGAAGGAATGTTTTTTCTTTCTTTCATGTTTCAACTGACTTTAAAACTCATTTAATTAATTAACGTTGATCTTGTTGATCAAACGATCAGTGATGGCGAGAAAATTAGGGCAATACTTCCAAAGAACGTATTTTGCTTTTCTATCTCTAGTCATAGTTGTGATCCACAATGTTGATGGTGACAATGGACTGTCAAATTTCTTGTCAAAAGAAAAACAAAATACATCTGCTCTTGTAATACCTCCGACTGCTGCAGCTTCGCCCTGTCTATCTCGAGGCAACAACTGCTCCTTGTGTCTAAAGGATTGTAATTGTGGATTCTGCGATACATGCAATGATATGTGCCATGGTCCAGAGGCTGTTGATAGTCCAAGTTGTGCTAATTGTGCTCGATGTATACCCGGAGCTTTAGATGGACCTAAAAAAGGACACGAATGCAGGGTTGAATGGTAAATAGTCCGTCTAATGATATTTTTTTCTAAAGAACAATCGGAAAGGGAATAAAAAAATTAGTCCACAGTAAAAACATAAAATCCACATAACAAATTAAGATTTCATTTCCTTCTTTTTATTATGGAATTTATAGTCTTGCAACAGAAAGGTAAGTATTATATACCAAAGAGAACTTCTATGTTATTTCTTAACTTGCTTTCAATAGGTTTTATTACGAGAAATGTCCAGAAACAGTAAACTAACAGAAAACAGTTTACGTTGAAATAGCTCTGTACTTGATCAATATTCATTCAGTGGACCTTAAAGATGGAAGATTTCATGCTGATTTTTATTTGTATGTTAAAGGTAACATGAGCAATTCATACATCTGAATACAGGTAAAAGTATACCTATAATGTGATTTGCAGGGTCACATTTCTGATTATTCCCTTTCAGTACCCGACGGACAAACAAAATACACAAAGCAGAAATGTAAAGACGGACCGAAAGAAGCATGCTTTGAACTAGTCAATGCTGCTGGTCAGCCAGAGGTCGGCATGTTATGTTCGAAATATTAGAAAGAATGTTTCCAGTTATTATCGGAGGTTAAATATCCTCCAAAAGTGCAATCATAAATCCACTATATGAAATAAATAATTACTAGGTTTCAAGTCACGAGGGAAAATATTTTCGGGTGAAATGCACATTTAATTTTGATGCCGATTTGAGGGATTATCCGTAAGTGTTTTCTTATAGATATTTTATATATCGTGAATAAGTAAATAATGAACGATTCAGCTCAATAAAGGACTATGCATGCGCAGTGGCACGAGTTTCGTGAGATTTTTAAGCTAACATTTGAAGGTATGATAATCAGACACTACGTATCGTTATACAAGACATGGAAATGGCTGCAAAGGAACTAAGATGGCATATCATGCAAGTACGTTGTATTGCTCCAATAATTAAACAACGTCTTCTCAAATACACAACATAGCTACATCGTGCTCACCGCTTGTAAAATCCGTTTCAAAATCGTAAAAAATTAGTTTTACATTTGGCTTTTTTGCTGGTTCGGATTGAATAAAACATAAATGCCCACTAACAACCAGCTATTTGTAGATATGACACTTAAATTCTCCTCACTTGTGTATGTCTTGTCTATTTCTGTCGACATTGACATTGCATGTACGGCATTTATACGTGCTGTCACATTTTGAGGGAAGATCAAGTCCTTTTAATCTACGTTGTTTTTTATGTAGGTTGTAACATGCATTTGACCGGCATGGCTTATAAAAGTCCGAGCATTCCCGCTGTTCCGTTCGGAATTAATGCACACCCTTTGTGTAGGCATGTACTGCAGACATCAAAACAAGCGTGATGAATATAGTTGTCTACAAAGCTTGAACACTGTTCACAGTAAAATCTTTTACCGAAAAAAGCTGGGAGCTTTGCCGGATTGATAACATTGAAATGATCCCCGTGTTTGTATAGCATTAGCTTTTTTACTGTTCTAGGCCCTTCATAAATTGAAGTGTTTCGTGCATCAAAGTCTATTACAAAATAAATACTAACTTATACTTATAAATTAGAGAAATAACATGTTTAAGAACATGTTTAAGCAATTGAGAAATAAAGTTAATATATAAGTGAGAAAAGCTAAACAGGACTATTATGCCACTAGAATTGCAGAACATAAAGACAACCCAAAAGAGACATGGGAAACAATCAACCACTTATTAGGCAGGCAAAAAAGACTGGGTAATGTCAATGAATTAAATGTAAATGGCATTAGCCTAACAAACTCTAAGGACATTGCTGAGAGTTTTAATCAATACATTTTCTAACAATTGATGCTTCAGATTGTAATTTTCAGGAATTTATAAATAAACCTAAATCTAAATTCTCAACTTTTCAGCCTGTAACCAAAAACATAGTCAATCAAATGCTATGTAATCTCCCAAGTGGAAAATCCACCGGTGTTGATAGAATTTCCAACAAAATTTTAAAGATAGCGGCACCTATTTTAGCTGACTCATTGACCTATATCTTTAATCAGACTATTACATTATGCACTTTCCCTAATGAATGGAAAATTGCAAGACTAATTCCTTTATTTAAAAATGGGCAAAAGAATTTGCCTACCAACTACAGACCAATCTCTGGTTTGCCAGCAATCAGCAAAATTATGGAAAGGATTTTATACAACCAACTTTATGATTATTTGAATAAATTTCACCTATTAAGTGACTCTCAGTTTGGCTTCCGAAAACATCACTCAACAGCTACCACCTTACTGGACTGTACCAATAGCTGGTATATGAATATTGACAAAAAATTATTCAACCTAGTGGTATTTATTGACTTAAAAAATGCTTTTGATACTGTAGATCATGAAATTTTATTAAGCAAGCTTGAACACTATGGCATTAAAGAAGACGCTTTGTCTTTATTAACATGTTACTTGACCAACCGTACTCAGTTATGTCAGATAAATGGAACAATTTCATCTGAACAGTTGGTCAAGTGTGGTGTACCACAAGGTTCTATTCTAGGACCACTACTGTTTTTATTATACATTAATGATCTACCTCAATGCTTACAAAAGACAAAACGCAGATTGTTTGCTGATGATACAAATTTAACAGCAGCAGGAAGCTCATTAATGAAGTTGAAGCTGAAGTTGAAGCTGCTAAAAGGTGGTTGATTGCTAATAAACTAAGCCTAAATGTTGCAAAAACTGAATTTATGTTGATTGGCTCTAAACCAATTATCAAAAGTATAGCTAATCAGCAACCAAACATTGCGATAGAAAACAAAACAAAACAAGTTTGGGATTCTAAATCTCTTGGTGTGACCCTCGATCAGCACTTGTCGTGGAAGAAAAATACTGACAATATTTGTGAGAAGATTGCCTCAGGGATATCAGCTCTTCGTCGGACTAAAGACTATGTCCATGAAGACACTCTTCTTTCCATTTACAACGCTCTTATACATCCTTACTTTACTTACTGCTGTGAAGTTTGGAACGTTTTCGGCGAAACTCAATCCAAACGCTTACAAAAACTTCAAAATCGAGCTGCTAGAATCATCGCAAACATAATGTTGTTGATCACGAAATTGCTTTGAGAGCTTTAGAGTGGTAGCCTCTTGATATTCAAAGGCAAAAAAGTAAAGCAAACATGGCAACATGGGTCCAAAATCACTTATTTAGTTTCAAAAGCGAATCAACTGATTATAAACTTCGTGGTTTTAAAAAAACACTATGCGTACCTCAGCCACGAACCAATAGCATGAAAAAAAGCCATTTAATGGGCCACAAGTCTGGAACTCAATGCCAAATGAAATTAGTTCTCTAGCGACCTTTCAAAGAAAAATCGCTTCCCACTCTCCCAAAACAAATATACTAGCTATACTTCATTTAATGTACATTTTAGTGTCTTGTGTCTCATTCTTCTATTGATCTTATCTAACATGAGTCTAACATGTTTTCATCCGGATGTAGGACCAGCTATAAAACCTTGATAATAAATTGATGTGAAAGATTGTATCGGGAAATATTTTTATAATTTGTATATAATCTACATCACGGGCTAATTAGTTTACACGAATCACTATAATAAAGGGAAAATTGAAAAAAAATGAAGGAGGAAGTTCCATTTGACATTTCAAATAAAATTTAGACTGTTTATCTGCAAAACTAGCGTCTTGGGTAATTCTTGAGGTTCTTACTGAGTTAGGGCATTGACTACGTAATGTAGAAAGTGAAAACTAGCTTACAAATGGTGGTGGTGTACCTGTATTGTACGATATCAAGTATGTTACGACCTAAAGCTTCAAAATTTTGGTGGTTTGATAATATTGGATTAGCAAGAATTTTCAAAAATCAAAAAAAAGCAACAATATTTGCGAGGAATTTTTGTAATTTTTGTCTTCGCTTGGACATTTTTCACGTTTTGTCATTTTATTGAACAATTCATGATTTTCACCAGCATTTTTCAAATTTACTCAAACTTCAAAGGAGTGCATAACAGTACCGCAGGGGACCTCCATTAATCCGCCATTGTTAATACCCCCCTTTCGCTTCATTATAAATCATCTGATTGATCCTGTATTTATAGAAACAAAAGATGTTTACTGCGTTTGCACAGGCTTACGCAAACCGAGGAGACCTTTGGGAGAACTCGAGAGCAGATTATGGTCGAGAGTACTCAGCACACGCGTTTCATTTTGTTTATTTTATAGATTAATTTATATTTTTTGATGTTTATGTTTTCGGGTGTTTGTACAAATGCAAATTGTTCAGCAAATATCACTCATCCATATTTTTTAAGTCTTGCCTAATCATTTTTGACATGGCATTGGTCGGGTGTTCAATTTTTATCCTAATAAATATTATGCTTTTGATGTTTTTTAAAAATTAAATTTGTTTTTTCATGGCTTTAAAAAATATAACATGATTAAAAATCACTATCCACTAGTATCCAGTGGATAGCGCTGTTTAGCTTTCTACAACAATATTAACATACACAGGTTTCGTTGATTTTGTTTTCCTTGCGTCGTTTTGAGATAGCTCGTCGTATTCGAAAAGTTTTTGTAAAAGCAAGTCCTCATCCAGAAAAGCAAACGGGTCGTTTTGTGCTTGTTGACATCAATGACTTATACCCAATCCTCTAGATATCTAACTGCCGTTGTCACGGTGAGGCAAATTTTATTCGCGGGCGCCATCTTGAAAGGTGGCAAAAAACATAACAAGCAATATACCAGGGGCGGATCCAGCAATTTTCGTGACTGATGCACCACTGCGAGCGCCAAAGGCGCTAGCTCTGTAGGGGGGTCTGGGAGGATGCCCCCCGGAAAATTTTATATTTTAGACCGTCGGAAATGCGACTTCCTGCGTTTTGACAACAGAATTTAAAAAAAAATTGGCTTTACTTAGTTTGTAAACTTTTCGCAAATTTCAATGATATAAAATCTAAAATTCCACTAACCTTTAAACATTTTCATTACTACTATCAGATTTATCAAGTTTCATACCTTCTTCCAGTGATTTTGAAAAGGTAGAAGCTTGGCATATTTTTTGTCGTGAAACGCAAAGAAACCTTTTACATCTCACAAAAGAAGCACAAGTTTTTGACCATTAATCACACTTGATACCACTCGTCCAACAGCAGAAAACGATACGTAGATATAGCGAAGAAATGTTCACGATGTAATCATCGTACCAAAGGCAGGCAACAAGTAATGATAAATGTTATTCTTCTTCTTTCATTGATAATATCACTCCTCCAACAGCAGAAAAAGATACGTAGACATAGCAAAGAAATGTTCATGCAGTTACCATCACCTATCTAGTTCTACACAAGCAATAAAAATTAGAAAGTCTATTGAATAAAATCACTATTGACTCTATGTTGATAAAGAAAAGCCTTTTAGGGGAACATTCATCAAGCCTTAAAGTGTAATTTTTTGGGTTGCCTTTAATAATCCATAAATATTATTTTAGATAATTGAATCTAAGCATGGTAATGCCAGTGCTATACTTTCTCAACCAAATTCATCAGACCAGCTTTCAAGGGGAGTATAAGTACGTACCTAATAGCTAATACTATGTGCCCTCCTAGCTTTAATCAAATAGCAATGGTGAGGACTTCTATACATAAGGATCAGGATACACATATGCACATATGCAAAAATAAAATATGGTGATGTAATATACAATGAAATATGTTAAAGAATTACAATATAGAACTGTTGCTCTAATATCTTTATGTATAGTGGGTAATTTTGAGATAATAATAATCATATAAAGACAATACAGTAACATCATATCTATGTAAATGAAATGCTTTGCTGTGTACCCACCCTTTTGTGATCATAATGTTCTATGGTAAATTTAGAAATTTGGCACACTGTGCATCATTGTAAATGAGAGCATACACTCAAAAAAACATCATCTTGTAAACTCAAGATTTTAGTTATAACAGCAACAGAGAAGATTCAAAGCAATATTTCAATTTCATATGAAAGTCATTATCAAGCTAGGCGTGGTAGAAATAATAAGGAATTGTTGTGGCTGAAATAATATGTAATTACAGTTTGCTTTGCTAAATTTCAGGAATTGACAATATTAGGCATGCAATATGAAAATGAAAAATCTAATGAATAACATGGTTGGTCCAGCATAGCTCTTACATTCAACACATTGCATAGCTCAGAAAGTTAGTATTTATAAACAAGCAAAATGTATGAAAAATGTGCCCTCTCTGTCTGTCACATTGAGCACATATTACAACATATTACATGGAATATTTATAAATCTATGAAATATCCTGAAGTAATGTCATATTAAATTATTATCTCCTGTATTTTTATGTATATTAAGTAACTTTGAAATCACAATATCCATGTGAGCACAATTAGAGTGGAGATTTCTCCAGGAAGTACATAGAGACTTCTACCAGTGACTTTAATCCGAAGAAATCTCCAGTATAAATATGCAGGATTCCCCAAATTCAAACATGTAGTAGTGAATAAAATGTTTTGTGATCTTATCTTACATGACAATTTATAAACTTGACACAACAACATGCATAATTATGTGCACACTAGTTATGGCATAAATCCAGAGCATTGCATTATACTACTGGCTAAATTTCATTGAGCCAACAATATTGGACATGAAGTTTGAAAATTGACATTGTAAAATACAATACAGTAAATTTCCATTTAATAGGTTAATGCAGGTCAGGATGCTTTGAAATTTAAATAAATGCAACAGGAATAAACACCCCATGTGCCCTTCCCATCATATTCCTAACATTAAAGAGAGTAAGCCATAAGCATTACAGAAATACAAGTATAGACCTATAGCTATGCATTACAATGTCAAGCATAGTAAGCAGTAAGCACTTCAAGCTACTTACTTTAAAGCCCGCCAATTATCTCCCATATGCTTAGGGATAAGCAACTCTGCGTTAAGATCTCTCGCCAGCTTTCCTTTCCGAAACAGGTCTGTTTTAGTAGGAATGGCAGCAGAGACTTTTTCTTCATAATCCTTTCTTACAGAAGAAATCTCGCTGGTTTTACTGTCTTGAATCAATGAGCCAAGATCGTATATATGCCTACTTTCAGCCATGATGACTTCAAAATATAAATAAGCCAAATGCCATAGTCATGTAATTATAATTTTGAAGGTTTGAAGATTTATAACGCTGGCTCAAGTGCACCAGTCAGAATGAAATTTTGGTGTTCGTGGGCTTAAGTGCAACAGTCAGCAGCGATTTCCCACCGTGACGTAGGCTGAAAACAATGAAATTCGTGACGTTTAGGTGGTTCACTCGGCCAAAGAGACTCGGGACTGTTGCACCAACTGGTGCACCACCGTGACGTAGAGATTCACTATCTAGCCACCGTGACGTAGTAGTACAAATTCAGCTCAGTGTAGCTGGATGATGAAACAAATTTTCGCCAAAATGTCGACACATAAAAACGCCATATTTAGCGACGCATTTTTTAATAATGCGGCTGTAATCAATATGATACTTACATGTAAACAATCTACGAAGGCTTTTAACAATATTTCTCAATGATCAATGTACATCTGTTGTCAATATATTGTCAGTGTTAAGGTATTTAAAGCATTTAGAAACTATAAACGTTCCAATCTGATATATTTCTGGCATTTTGCTCGTATTGATTGTAAGTTATAATGTTGTGAAATATTCAATTTTATGACTGATGCACTCGCATCAGTTGCACCACCCTGGATCCGCCCCTGCTTCCACTCTGATAAACCTTTCATCTTTTAACTCTGCTATACCGGTCACAAGCCCGGGACTTGTAGCGTATAAGGCTCTCTGCTTTTGAGTAGACTTGTATCGTTTACAAGGAAGAGGAGTGGAAGGTTAACATTCCAACTATTTAACCTTGTAATTTTAATACACAAGGCAAAAAGCGACGCAGCGGCATGCAAAATGTTGACAGCTTACATGCCATTAACTTTAGTTATAAAATCAAGAATTCAAAATTGTTCGTAGAAATTTAAATTAGCAGTTGATCGGTACAATGCGCATTTCACTTGCGAATCAAGTTTTCCAGATGGAAACCCCTAAAGAGAAGCATAATAAAAGTGATTCAGTCTTTCAGATGACATTAAAATGAGATATTTATTTCCGGCATTTTGATCATCAAAAAGTGTTATATAAGCAAAACAATACACACGCGTTGATTGTTTCCGGGTTTTTTGGACACCCTGTACAGCACTCAAATACCGAAAGCTGATTGGTCAATTGAAGGTTGTTATTCTCTTATTAATGGTAAATATTATATATTCTGTTATTTCAAATGTTTGTTGATTTCTTGAACACTGTTTCTCATGTATTTCCCGAGCTATATAAAGTATCCGAAAATATGAATCTAACTGACGGTGAAAGATCTTGAGACCTGTAACCAAAGGATGGGTGGGGGGTGGGGGGTGGAGTTGCATTATGTGCACATACAGCTCCCATACATCATCGTGGTCCGTTTTTCAAAAATGCAAAAAAGTTCTAAACAATATTTAAATTGTCTGATGTACAATTAGTCAGGCGATAACTAATTATCTTTTTGCCGCGGAAGCATTCTTTTGTGCCGTCAGACTCGAATGTGAATGCGTCATTTGATGGTCTGATACAAAAGAATATTTTATCGAATACCGTTGGTTGGTCATTTACTAAAGATTTGTTGCAATTTAAGAGCGCCCAATGCACTGTGATATGACAGCCATGTGTATATACGGTGATTAAAGGGCTGAAGAATTTATGATCAATTGATTATGGGTAATGTTTGGTTGTCTCATCATCCTCTTCAAAACTTCAATAAATTCTTTCCTTGGTTTTTTTAAGTTGTTTTTCTGCATCGGATTACTACAACTTCATAATCTATGAAATTTTATAAAATAGGTGAGTAAGGCGTACGTTTCATTAATTGTTGTCAGACAAATAATAAAATAGCTTATCTTGGGGAAATTTTTGGCTAAAGTTGCATGTATCAGGCTCCACCTCCGGTGACGCATGTATCGGGCTCCGGTATAGCGATGTCCATTGGATAATGAGCGTGCTCAAAAATGATTGTCATTGCTTCAAATTGTAAAATTTTGATATTGTTGAATACTGCATTCAATTGACTTTTAAAACGATCAAAGCCGTGTAGGGAAAAGCACTATAAGCAACGCCATGTTTTCAAAATAAGTCTGATATTTCTTATAATCTTCATAATATGCTATTGCTCAATTGTGTTCATGTAACTCTCAATATATTCTTTTCATAAACAGTATACTTCTAATTATTTCTATGCAATGGCAGTATAGTCTTGACTGGTCTTTATTACAAAGACAAACGAACCTTTCCGTAAAGCAGTCGTTAATTATCACACGAATATTCAACAGTCTTACTTTGCATGATTGCATTTGTAAAACAAAGCAGATATTATAAACTTTGATAGTACCCACGCAAAATAATCTTTATTACTCTTCTCACGCTGATGGCTTTACATCGATACATTTTATGGCAAAATGTCGTCCATTGAATGTGAAATAACATCTTTAAACACTCTTAATGAGAGCGAGCTGGTAAGTGGGCCAATTCATGATGAATTTTGCCAATTATAAACATGAAGCTGTGTTATATAACATGTAGTTATTGTATTGCATGTTAAGTAATGTTAATGAGCGCTGAATATGGTTTTTGTAGCGACGATGATAACCATGATTACATTTTGCATTTGTATATTGCAAAACTGTAAAGTCTGAATAATTTCGATTTTTTATATGATAAACGTTTTGGCAGAGTTAAGCACGCAAGTGATGATTATTTGAGAACGTACGTAGTTCAACTCCGGAATCTAAAGAATCCCAATCTTGAAAGATGGCTCGGTTGCATTCAAAGTAACTAAAGGAATGTTAAACTTTTTTTGGATTTTGTTTAAATGTGAACTTTAAAAATGATTTTATAAAATACGAAATTTGAAAAGAGACTTGACGCTTTTTACTGAACAAGTTCATTTACATATTAAACTTGTGCTTGTGCCATAGCTTTTGCGTTGAATTGTTTATATATATATATATACATTGTATATACACTTTGTATACACCCCATGATATATATAAAGAGGCCCAAACCAGCACAAACGAAATTGTATAGGTAGAATGCTGTTTGCCAAATTAGAGCTTATGAAATATAATATAAGTATAAAACATGGCCTTTCGAATTTCGATACAAATTTTTAGTTGAATAATATCGTTTGGGGTATAAGTCGTGTATTATCTTTGGTTTGTATCTTTTGCTTTATCTTTGGTTTTATCTTGTGTTTTATCTTTGGACGTGTTAGTTTTTATTATATAAAGATATTTGTATTAGGCTGAGTGGGCTGAATATATTAGGACATATATTACATACTAGGTTATATTAGAAATATATGTATATACTAGGTTAAAATTTGCCACCTGATGAGTGCTGCAGGTAAGAAATGCCATGTATTATAGCTACAAAAGAGATTTTTTTAGCAAGCTAGAGATTTTGTTACTGATACGGAGCTCTTGTCTCTATTTCTTATGCTCTCGTTTATCCGCACTTCACCTATTTCTGCGAGATTTGGGACGTTTTGGGAGAGATAGAACCCGAAGGTTTGCAAAAACGTCAAAACAGGGCAACTAGCTGTATCACAATGAGTAATGATTGATGTTGAGCATAAAGTTGCTCAGGCTGCTTTAAGTAGGAACGTCAACCTATATTCCTGTTTAAATTATTTATTTTATAACGTGGGTCCAGCATCGTTGATAGTTTGTTTCACTATAAAAGCACACTTTGCCTACCTAAATCATGAGCGAAAGTATGAAAAGACTTTCTCATAGCTATAACAGAGCAAACATGAACATTCAATTATTGTTGCAACCGGAAAAAATAGTCATTTTGACCATTTTGTTTTTTGGGGCATGTATACTAGCAAGAAACTGAGAAACTGAACACTACGCTCCATTCTATAGCATTCTAAACTTCAAAAAATACACTGATGGCATTATAAATTGCTCTTTTAATCTCTCAGTCGGTTAAAATAAGCAAGTCATATCGAGTTAAGACAAAATTTGACTATCGCGGAGAAAAAGGAAATAATTAAGATCAAATTTTCTCTCCTCCAGTTATCTGTAATAAATGATTCATGGAGTATTAATTTGAACAAAGTAAATACATTTTGAAATATGTTTTAGTATTAGACAAGATCGTTAAAGCAAATAAAAATGGTGATTCTGTGCAAGATATGTTTATTATATAAATTTGGACCAGATGTAGTAAAAGCAAATAAGAACGATGACTCTTTACTAGATATGATGCATATTCTATACTTGGACCAGACAGTAGTACAAAATAAAAATGGTGTTTCTGTACAAGATTACATATTGTATACTTGGACCAGACAGTATTACAAAATAAAAATGGTGTTTCTGTACAAGATATGCATATTCTATACTTGGACCAGACAGTATTACAAAATAAAAATGGTGATTCTGTGCAAGATATGCATGTTATATACTTGGACCAGACAGTATTACAAAATAAAAATGGTGTTTCTGTGCAAGATATGCATATTCTATACTTGGACCAGACAGTATTACAAAATAAAAATGGTGTTTCTGTACAAGATTACATATTGTATACTTGGACCAGACAGTATTACAAAATAAAAATGGTGTTTCTGTACAAGATATGCATATTCTATACTTGGAGCAGACAGTATTACAAAATAAAAATGGTGTTTCTGTACAAGATTACATATTGTATACTTGGACCAGACAGTATTACAAAATAAAAATAGTGTTTCTGTACAAGATTACATATTGTATACTTGGACCAGACAGTATTACAAAATAAAAATGGTGTTTCTGTACAAGATATGCATATTATATACTTGGACCAGACAGTATTACAAAATAAAAATGGTGTTTCTGTACAAGATTACATATTGTATACTTGGACCAGACAGTATTACAAAATAAAAATGGTGTTTCTGTACAAGATATGCATGTTATATACTTGGACCAGACAGTATTACAAAATAAAAATGGTGTTTCTGTACAAGATTACATATTGTATACTTGGACCAGACAGTATTACAAAATAAAAATGGTGTTTCTGTGCAAGATATGCATATTCTATACTTGGACCAGACAGTATTACAAAATAAAAATGGTGTTTCTGTACAAGATATGCATATTCTATACTTGGACCAGACAGTATTACAAAATAAAAATGGTGTTTCT